CCGCGCAGCAGAAGCCTACCGGGCAGTGCCTAATGAGGACAGCAGAGACTACCAGAAGGTAAAACAGGCCATCCTAGTCCGGTATGCCATTACCCCTGAGGCATACCAACTCCAATTCCGGGACCTGAAAAAACAAGAAAAGGACTCCCATGCAGAGTTTGCGCACCGCTTACACCGAGCAGCCACGGGGTGGATTGATGCGGCGCAAGAAACTACCCGGGAAGATCTCATTCAATTACCTTTGTTGGAACAGTTCTACCGGAGACTAACTACTGATATGCAGAACTGGGTAAGAGATCGTAAACCACGCACCTTACAAATGTGGCTAAATTAGCGGACGAACATCATGACACCAGGCGAGAGCAGCGCCCACCACCCAGGGTATTCCCCCAGTCGACAAACCACAGGCCTGCCTTGGCCGAAACAGCTCACCCACGATCCGGGGTAGCTAACAACCAATACCAACCTAGGTACCCCAACCGGGCACACATCAGATGCCAGACCTGCAACCAACTGGGGCATGTACAACGAGAATGCCCCCGAAACAGGGCACGACCATCATGGCCCAACCAAGGCCAACCTCCTGGCACTCAGGCTGTGGTACACTGCTATCAGAATGAATCATTCACCCAGCCCTCCACAGCCACCCATGTGGAGGAACCTCTAGGCACCCTCCATGAAGTTAACCCCGTCCAAGCGGTGTCCAATAACTGCCCAAGCCACCGCCAATCGTCCACATAGAAGGGAAGCGTATGGAGGGGCTGAAAGATTCCAGGGCCACCATCACCTTGATCCAAAACCACCGTGTCCCAAAGGACCAGCTTACGGGGGATTGTTTAGCAGTACGGGTGGCAGGGGGAGCGATCTACAAGGTTCCCACTGCCAAGATACATTTGAATTGGGGAGCGGGTTCAGGGAACTTGGAGGTGGGGATGATGCAAGACTTGCCCGCAGATGCCAAGAGGCCTACCCAGTCATCACCAGGCAGCAGGCCCGCACCACGGCCCCATCCAGTGACTCTGAGGCTCAGGTAAGCAATGAACCCCATAACCACACTGCCCTTCCCTGGGATGCCCCCCTAGAATTTGGTAGCGAGGTCGCTCTAGACCCGTCCCTGCAGGTTTACAAAGACCGAATAGACAAGAACCAGGCAGGCTTAGAAGGAGAGAGATATGCTTGGGATCAAGGGTTATTATACCGGTATGCAGAGAAGGTAGTAGCCGGGTCTATTCCTATACCCATAAAGCAGTTAATTGTACCTCGAAAGTATAGACAGGAGTTACTGCGCATAGCGCACGACATACCCTTATCTGGTCATTTAGGTATCAGCCGAACTAAACATCGGCTGACGCAGAACTTCTTCTGGCCAGGTATCTCCAAGGCAATGCTGTAACACCTGTGATACCTGCCAGAGGGTAGGGAAGAGGGGATACCGCTACAAAGCCAAACTCCATTCCCTGCCCATAATAGAAGAGCCCTTTAATAGAGTAGCTGTGGATATAAACGGACCCCTGAAAAAACCCAGTTCCTCTGGCAAGAAGTACATCTTGACCGTAGTGGACTACACCACCAGATACCCCGAGGCGGTGGCTCTAACGAATGTACATGCAGAGACCGTAGCGGATGCCCTTATGCAAATTTTCTCCCGCATGGGATTTCCACGGGAGATTATTTTGGATAGGGGTACCCAATTCACTGCAGAGGTCGCCCACCAGCTCTGGAAGGTCTGTGGGGTAAAAT